ACCCCCCCCCCCCCCCCCCCCCCTTTGCTGTCTCATACAGAGGCATTGGGCGGGGGAGGGAGGGGGAGAATGCAAGTAGTTGACCTGAGTACCCGATAAGTCTAGGCCCATGGTCATCAATTAGTAGATCGGGATCTACTGGTAGTTCTTAGAGCCTCTGACAGGTGATCCTCTCTGGCCCAGCACACTCTGGTCTGGCAACATCCATGGTCCAGCATGATTTTAGTTAGCTGGATGCCCACTTAGGGATGTGGCCAAGTTTCCTGCAGTCTCATAAAGTTAGTTTACAGCAGTGGTCATCAACCAGACGATTGGGATCTACAGGTAGACCTTGCAGCCTCTGACAGGTGATCCTGACTGATCTGTCCAGGAAGCTATCAAGTGCTGGCACTGCAGTTGCCCCTCCATCCACTGTCATGCTGCTCCTGCCCTCTGCCTTGGAACTGCCCCTCTGGCAGCCTCCTGCTTGCTGTGCAGAGTGTGGGAGGGAGAAGAGGAGGGGTGCTGATGTCAAGGCATCCCTCCTCCCTGGACTTCTGTACGCTATCTCCACACTGAGAGGAAAGGATGGAGGGAGCTTGACAATGCAAATTTCTGTCACTCTCACCCACTGTGTGTGTCTGTCATTCTCATAAACACACACTGTCCTTCACTCTCAACTCCTGACCCAACACAGACATGGGAGGTGGTTGCTACTTCTTTTACTGCTTGCAAAGTGTGTTATTTTTGGTTTTTGACTGGTTTGTGCATTTCATAATTTTCATTTCTCTTTTACATTTAAATTTAATTCTTTGAGTAGTGAGTTCTAAAATACCTAATCTGTTATGGATGGAGTAATTTCCCCTCTGGTAATTGCTGCTCCTGGAAGTGGCTGGCATGTCCTGCAGCCCCTGAGAAGAGCAGAGCAGGAGGTCTCCACAAGCTGTTCTTGTCTACAGACACCACTCCTGCAGCTCCCATTGATCAATAACGGGAAACCGTGGCCAGTAGAAGCTGTAAACTCAATGCCTGTGTAACCTAGAGTGGGCTAGACTTAACTGACCTTCTGTAGTGTCTAACCCCTCCTCCCCCACTACGATAGCAGTACTGGAGACACAGAGTTCAGTCTGTAAGGAATTTCAGCAAGGATTGTCTCTCTATATTCAAGTTAAAAAAGAAACTAAATAATTTAATTACATAACTTTATAAAATCTTATGGAGAAACAAATAATCTAATTCTTACAACAGAACACAGCTATTTTATAACC